CACGCAGTCTACCTACTGGGTACGTGGCCAGAAGTCTTCCCCCTCCCTCATTTACACACTGCAGACCCTGCCTGTGATTTTAAACTGTCATTTACTGGAGCGGATTGGTGAAAATAATCCTGTCACCATCGGATTTGTTGTTAAATGAGATCTTGGTTGAATTCTGGTTTATTTTTGAAAATCAGCCTTCTTGAGTTTTAAATTGTTCTTGGGTTATAACTGCTCCACCTCTACTGCCATTTAAAAAACTGTCAGTGTTTCCACGGTAAATACTTGATTATGGATTTTGAAGGCAACTGCAAAAAAAAAAAAAAGTATGCTAGCAAAAATCTGATATCTAACACAAAGCCACACATGAATTATTTTGCACAATTTCATTTAAATCATTCTGACTAGAGGTTTTTGGAAAAATTGAGTAGGTCACTTGAAAAACAATATTTTTGCTTTTTATTGTTAAGCCTTTAATTTAAGAGGAAAATCCTAAAATTTAAGGATTTATTTCCAGTTGTTACTCACATAATAGTAGAGTAAAAAGTTTACAGCAGAAATATTTCTCCAGTAACATTTCTTCTCTTTAAAATGAAGAATTCAGGAAACAATTACCCCAATATTTGTGTAACATGTGTCACAAAAGTTATGGGGTTTACCTTTGTCTGTTACGGGCAAAATTGACCTACAGCCTCAAGGATCCCATGTATGAATCAAAGTCTGTTCATCTTAAAAGCATAATTTCTGATGTTTGCAGTCTTGATGCTAATTTGCAGTTGTCATACTTACAAGTGTCAGGCCACAGCCCCAAGAGGTGGGCAACAAGGAAGTTGGTGGCTTGTGTCACCTGAAAAGATGATTTAGGGAGGCGTTCTGGGTTTATGATTGAGTAAAGTTCTTAAGGAGTGTTGTAATTCCTACAGCATGTACATGGAGTGAGAGTGGGGGTGTCTTTACCCACCAGATATCAGTTGCACTTTTGAAGTAACCCTCTTTCATTGCATAACCTGTGTTTTCATTCATTCATTCAGTCAGTCAGTCAGTCAGTCAGTCAGTCATTCAAATCACTTGTGGGCAGGATGTAATCAAGTGTGCCAGGGTGTGATCTGTGTGCGGGGGAGAAGCAAGGTCTCTGTCTTTATAAGGACATTTTAATTTCCCACTCGGTGGAAGGAGACATCCAATTAATAAACAAACAAACAAGATCACTGGCATGTGCTACAGGCACTCAGTGAGTAGGATGACATGATGGAGGGCTACGCACCGGACAGAAACTGGTGGGGAAAACCCCTCTGAGAAAAGGCCACTGGCTGAGACTTGAAGGTGCAGAGGAAGAAATTCTAGGCAGAGAAACCATGACCTGGCCCATTTTATGTAGGAGGTTCTAGCAACAGGTTGTAGTAAATAGACGCAGGAAGATCACTGAGTCACACTGCCGTACAGAATGGCATCTCAGGCTGAGCAGTGGCCATGTGGTAGAAAAGAAGAAAAATGGTCTCCTGAGTCTGTCAGTGGGACAAAGAACAGACAGGGGTTTGTTCATGAACCAGCTGTCCCAGGAATGCAGAAGTTGCCTGTGCTCAAATCCAAACAGCACTAAGGGACACAAGCAGAATTTAGGTTAGAAGAAGGGACGTTTACTACCATAAAGTTTGCTCTCCCCCCCCAAATCAGCAGAAGGTAGAGAGCACAGCTCTCTCTTCCTGTGCCTTAGCATCATTGTGATCATTTTCTTTTGTTAAGTGAGTCTTCATAAGAATAAACTTGCCACTCATCCACCTCCACCAAGATCTGCACACGATGCGGTCTGATTAAACAAATCATCGATAGAGAGCGAGACAGATACTCATTATACACCCCGATCACCCATATTATGGTTGCCTTCTCTCTCTCTCTCTTGCCTTAACTGCCAGTGGCAAACAAAATCACTTAAGTCAAGCGAACAGTTTTAAATGTATAATATTAAAATGTGGTCTTTAGAACTCCTTGGAACCCTCAGCCATTGTTAAAATACACTTACTTTGACAGATGCTTTGGCACCTTTTTTTATGAAGCTTTTCAACGCGTTACCTTATCGGGTGCACGAGATTTAGTCTGTTCTGCAGAGGAAAACAGACAAAAAGGGTCTCTCAGCACGAGTTACTCTTCTGTAAAGGTTATAGTAAACATGTCAATGCCTAATTAAGCAGAAAATTTTATCTGTATTGTGGGGGAGGCGTGTGCTGTCTCCGACTTTTCTTCTGGGGAATCCATTTAGAAGGACAAAGTAGATTGTGAGGTTGAGCTGGTCCAGAAAGCTCAGCTTCCAAATGTCAGCAGAAAAAAAAAAAGATCACTTCTTCTTCTCTCCTTGTTTGAAAATGACTGTATTGGCTGGGCACATTATGTGTGTGTGTGTGTGTGTATGTGTGTGCGTGTGTACAGAGGAGATACACATGTACATTTCATCAACACACACAGTATGAAACACAAATTACTTCCCACCAACTTCCTACTGAGTGCCAGGCAGCGTTCTAGGCACTAAGATGACGAAAAAAACCCAGCAACACCTTTAACCAATTGCTATGAAAGAAAGCTTTTTTCCTCCCCCCCAGACTTCCTCACTCATTCGGTGTGTGTATATATACACCTGTGTACATGCAAGTGCACATGTGTGCATGCATGCATACACACACCTTGCTGCTGTGATCACATTGCCATAAATATGGTGATTTTATCTCTTAGCCTAGAACAGTCCTGCCTAACCCCATTGATGCAGTATTTACCCTAGAATAAAAGCATGCTATCATTTTTCAGTGGTGATCCTATTTTGATTAATAAAATTTGCCTAATTTCATCCTCAAAATGACTGTTTGATAAAATTCACCTGGCTTTTGAAGTACCTTACTCGACTCAGTAGCTACTCATGGATGAATTTTATCACGTGAACTTTCTCCTTGACCTTAATGGTATAAATGGTTTTGCCGGTATATAAGTTAGTGTAGGGAAAAGAAAACTTTATGAGAATGAAGGGGCTAGTCTACTTTGGTCCCTCAGTTACTTTCAACTACAGTTTCCTTGCAAATAGTGACCACTCATTTTGACCAGCACAGGTAATTTTTGTTTCTTCAAATCAATTTATGGAACTAGAGTCCAGCAACACCAATTTCATAAAAAAAAATCCACTTGTCAACTTTCTGGGAAAGCAAAACCACCACACCAGTAACAATAAAACAACAGACATAGCCGTAAAACTCTCTGCTATGCTGAGTTTTTACATTTCTTCTTGTTTTATAGCGTCATGCCTTAAATTCACGGGCTCGTGTCCGCAATATTCTCACAGTTCTCCTTCCTGAGGAGGTTATCTATTTAGCAACATTTTGGTTGAATTTCACTGCTTCACCTTTAACCTTTGGGTCCTGGCAAAGTTTTCTTACTCATTAGGTTAGTTACAGAGAAAAGGGTGGCACCTACTCAGAAAGATTAAGCATTGTCGCATCAAACAGGCTTGAGTTCAAGTGGTGATCCTATGCTCCTAGCTGTGTGAACCTGTGTGAATTTCCTAACTTTAAGCCTCAATTCCCCCATGATGAAATACACAGTGAAAATAATAGTAGTGCCTACATTGTGTGGCTATTAGACAAAATGGAAAAATGTGTTTGCAGTGGTTAGCTTGCTTCTCGGGAAATAGTAATTCCTCAGTTAACTTTGTTCATGCTCATCATCACTGTCAACCTTTGGGGTTCCTGACTACACCCGCCTATTCCTACCCCACCCCTTCACTTCTGACTCTCTCTGCTGGCCTCCACTTCCAGACTTCATCCTTGGTGGGTAGAAATGCCACCACCTGTTCTAGGGCTTTTTCCAGTGAGCCACCCACTGGTGAAAGAGAAATCCAAGCATGCAAGGAAAGCACTGCATTGTGAACCCGTGATCCTTGCAAATCCAAGGCTGAGCCTCCTTTGCTTGGATACATCTTGGGCTGCATTTTATTCACATGGCCTGAAAGTCCAGGTGAAGCAAATGAACCCATGGGCATAAACAATCACATTCCCCGTCTCCACTGATGGATATTTGCCCATTAATTCCCTTTACACCCGCTCTCTCGTGTCTCCATTTTCCCTATGCAATTACTAGCCCTAAATCCTTTCAGAGAAGGGAAAGCATGCATCCCCAATAGCATTTTGCATCTACAAATCAAAGGTATAATTGGCATCTCATGACAGGTCCCCACAAATCACAACCCATTTGAAATTACAGGAACAAGATTGAGAGGGCATTTTCAGCCTTGTCTGAAAAGGTCTTCATAAACCTGTTTGAGAATAATAGGTTGGTCCCCAAATGTCCCATTCTAACACCATTTGCAATTATTTTAAAATCATTATATTTCTTGACTGTACATAATTTTTTGGCTATCGATGGAAGATTTCATTTGCATACTCCATAATGTCTCTTCCTGCAGTGCAACTCTCTACAAATAAAAATGTTATGACAAAAAGACCCTGCCTATCAAAAATATGTGGGCTGTACATCCAAATTTCTTCTCAGTACTCAAAAACCAATACATTTACATGAGTATATGCCAACACGTCCAAGCATTTTGGAAAATTTTACTTTTGTGATACCAAGGGCCAAATCTTGGTTTTCATATGAACCAATATCATGGGCTATTTTGCTTTCATAGGATTTGAGTTTCAATTTCAGAATTCCTGCAATCTATACATATGAATTTAGCAACTGTCCCATTATGGGAATCATTAAGGAATGATATTTCTTAAACACAGAATTATTAACTTGGGATGTCAGTCACTTGGAGAGAATGATGATGCTTGCCATTTTTCTAAAAAAAAAAAAGCAGTAAATGCCACAAAAGACATCATTTGGCTTCTTCCCTGTTTCCATATCTTGAGGTTCACAGTGTGTAGATCTAATTGCTAGTCAGTTCAGCATGGGAAGCTCTGAGTCTAGGCAGGGACGTTGGAAAGGAATAGGTAACCATTGGTGTTATTTCATCTCTTCTCCTTCTCTTGCAGGCTACGCCCAGGAGGAACAGCTGAAGGAAGAGGAGGAAATAAAAGAAGAAGAGGAGGAGGAGGAGGACAGTGGTTCAGTAGCTCAGCTTCAGGGCAGCAATGACACAGGGACAGACGAGGAGCTAGAGACTGGCCCAGAGCAGAAAGGCTACTTCAGCTGCCAGAACTCTCCAGGAAGTCATTTGTCCAATCAGGACGCGGAGAACGAGTCCCTGCTAAGCGATGCCAGTGACCAGGTGTCAGACATCAAGAGCATCTGCGGCCGAGATGCCTCGGACAAGAAAGCGAATGCTCACCCCAAGCTTCCGCACGAAGCACACAACTGCATGGATAAAATGACCGCCGTCTACGCCAACATCCTCTCTGATTCCTATTGGTCAGGCCTGGGTCTCGGTTTCAAGCTGTCCAATAGCGAGAGGAGGAACTGCGATACGCGCAATGGCAGCAACAAGGGTGACTTTGACTGGCACCAAGATGCGCTATCCAAAAGCCTGCAGCAGAACTTGCCTTCCAGATCCATCTCTAAGCCCAGCCTCTTCAGCTCGGTCCAGCTGTATCGTCAGAGCAGCAAGATGTGCGGGACCGTGTTCACGGGGGCCAGCAGGTTCCGCTGCCGGCAGTGCAGCGCTGCCTACGACACCTTGGTCGAGCTAACTGTGCACATGAATGAGACGGGCCACTACCAAGATGACAACCGCAAAAAGGACAAGCTGAGACCCTCGAGTTATTCAAAGCCCCGGAAAAGGGCTTTCCAAGATATGGACAAGGAGGATGCTCAAAAGGTCCTGAAATGTATGTTCTGTGGGGACTCCTTCGATTCTCTCCAAGATTTGAGCGTCCATATGATAAAAACAAAGCATTACCAAAAAGTGCCTTTGAAGGAGCCAGTACCAACCATTTCATCGAAAATGGTCACTCCGGCGAAGAAGCGTGTTTTCGATGTCAATCGGCCTTGCTCCCCAGATTCAACCACCGGATCTTTTGCGGATTCTTTTTCTTCTCAGAAGAACGCCAACTTGCAACTGTCCTCCAATAACCGCTATGGCTACCAAAATGGCGCCAGCTACACCTGGCAGTTTGAGGCCTGCAAGTCCCAGATCTTAAAGTGCATGGAGTGTGGAAGCTCCCACGACACTTTGCAGCAGCTCACCACCCACATGATGGTTACAGGTCACTTTCTAAAGGTCACCAGCTCTGCCTCCAAGAAAGGGAAGCAGCTGGTGTTAGACCCACTGGCAGTGGAGAAAATGCAGTCCTTGTCAGAGACCCCAAACAATGATTCTCTGGCTCCCAAGCCATCGAGTAACTCCACATCTGACTGCACGGCCTCTACCACCGAGTTAAAGAAAGAGAGTAAAAAAGAAAAGCCAGAGGAGAGCAACAATGAGGAGAAAGTCGTGAAAAGCGAGGAATATGAAGATCCTCTACAAAAGCCTTTAGATCCGACCATAAAATACCAGTATCTAAGGGAGGAGGATTTAGAAGACGGCTCAAAGGGTGGAGGGGACATTCTGAAGTCGCTCGAAAATACTGTAACCACAGCCATCAACAAAGCCCAAAATGGGGCTCCCAGTTGGAGCGCGTACCCGAGCATCCACGCGGCCTACCAGCTGTCAGAGGGCACCAAGCCCCCCTTGCCCATGGGATCCCAGGTTCTGCAGATTAGACCTAATCTCACCAACAAGTTAAGGCCAATCGCACCGAAGTGGAAAGTCATGCCGCTCGTGTCTGTGCCGACCAGCCTGGCCCCGTACACTCAAGTGAAGAAGGAGTCGGAAGACAAAGACGAGGTGGGGAAGGAGTGCGGGAAAGAAAGTCCCCGGGAAGAGGCCTCCTCGTTCAGCTACACTGAGGGGGACTCCTTCTCCAAAAGCGAACCACCCTCGGAATCCAAAAAGGCTGAGCCGTGCCCCCCGAAAGAAGAGGACAAACTCCTGAAAGACAGCAGTGAGAAAGAGAAGCCGCAGTCCTTGGAGCCGGTGTCTTCTCTTAGTAACGGATGTGCCCTTGCCAACCACACTCCGGCCCTGCCGTGCATCAACCCACTCAGCGCCCTGCAGTCCGTCTTGAACAATCACCTGGGCAAGGCCACAGAGCCCCTGCGCTCTCCCTCCTGCTCCAGCCCAAGCTCAAGCACAATTTCTATGTTTCACAAGTCCAGCCTCAGCGTCATGGACAAGCCGGCCCTGAGTCCCGCCTCCTCCAGGCCGGCCAGTGTGTCCAGGCGCTACCTGTTTGAGAATAACGACCAACCCATCGACCTGACCAAGTCCAAAAGCAAGAAAGCCGAGTCCTCGCAAGCACAATCCTGTACGTCCCCACCGCAGAAGCACGCTCTGTCTGACATCGCTGACATGGTCAAGGTCCTTCCGAAAGCAACCACGCCCAAGCCTGCCGCTTCCTCCAGGGTTCCGCCCATGAAGCTGGAGATGGATGTCAGGCGCTTTGAGGATGTCTCCAGCGAGGTCTCCACTTTGCATAAAAGGAAAGGCCGGCAATCCAACTGGAACCCTCAGCACCTTCTGATTCTGCAAGCCCAGTTTGCCTCGAGCCTCTTCCAGACATCGGAGGGCAAATACCTGCTGTCCGACCTGGGCCCGCAAGAGCGTATGCAAATCTCCAAGTTTACAGGACTCTCCATGACCACTATCAGCCACTGGCTGGCGAATGTCAAGTACCAGCTTAGGAAAACAGGCGGGACAAAATTTCTGAAAAACATGGACAAGGGACACCCCATCTTTTACTGCAGTGACTGTGCGTCCCAGTTCAGAACCCCTTCCACCTACATCAGTCACTTAGAGTCTCACCTGGGTTTCCAAATGAAGGACATGACCCGCATGGCCGTGGACCAGCAAAGCAAGGTGGAGCAAGAGATCTCCCGGGTGTCGTCGGCTCAGAGATCTCCGGAAACAATAGCTGGCGAAGAGGACACAGACTCTAAATTCAAGTGTAAGTTGTGCTGTCGGACTTTTGTGAGCAAACATGCGGTAAAACTCCACCTAAGCAAAACGCACAGCAAGTCACCCGAACACCATTCACAGTTTGTAACAGACATGGATGAAGAATAGCTCCGCAGGTATGGGTTTGCTCCCAGGTGATGGTGACAGCAGCCTTATGAGGAGCTTGTTGAAAGGAGATGGGTCTGCTTAGAGGCAGCTGATGTCTCCCGAGGCCAAGCAGGACAGTAGCTTGCTGCCGTAGACTTATTTTTATGAAAGACCAGAACATGATAAATAAGTCTACCCGTTCTCTCAAGTCCTCCAGTGTACAGAGGGGAGTTAGGGTAAGATGGATTTAGAGAGGGGAAGTCCACAGATGATGTGGCTTCTAGGCCTTCGTGATACATAATTCCCTTAATACCCAAGACCCAACCTCCAGGGTCCAGCCAAGGCTCCCCTTCAGAGCAATTAACAAGTGCTAGCTTCTCTCACCATTCCGTTTCACCACCCTGCCGTCATCCCTTAGCAATGCTAATGACTTACAGAGTGGTACAAAGGTGAGCAACAGAATAAAGATGGGAGAGTTGCTAAGGGCAGTCACTAGACAGATTTCTTAATCAGCTCACAAGTAACTTAAAGTTGTCTTTACTATTCTTACATGTAATTAATGCTTTTTGCAGCTTACTTTTTAGCAATTGCTCCCTTCCACCTCCCTCCCTTTATTTCCTACATTAATTCTCCTCCCAAAGAGCACATGTCTTTAAGGAGATGGTAGAAAAATACTCTTCTCTGCAGATCATTAAAATGAAAGAGAGAAGGCTATTTTCTTCTCACATCTTTTGTTTTCTTTAGGGTAGACTAATATCAAAGTCCACCTTTAGCAAAATTAGATGCAATGCTTGCCCTTCAGATTTTATTTCACATTAAGAAACAAATGGCTCTCTGCATACCTATGCACAAAGCACAGGGGGCCCAGAGTGTTAAGACAATTTGCATCACGTAGCACAAAAGTTCATACCTTTTGTAGTCACTGACACCCAACTATGTCAACTCCAGATAAAAGGTCAGAGACCAATGTCAAATACCTTGGCAAATTAGAAACACAAGCCACTCTCAGATGCTGAGCATAAGGAAGGCTGGATCTTAACAAGTATCTCTCATCTCCTTTTTTTGTATCTCCTCTACCTCCTTTTCTCTCCCCTCCAGCATGATGCCCCCAGATGCTACAGATCCTCACATATAGTCAAGCTGTCCTTCACCCAGGGCCCCACTGCAACATGAGGACCCAACATGAGCTAAACTTGTTGCACATACCAGTCCAGTTTGTGTCATTCTGCAGTACATATTTGCTCTTGATTAATTCACAATATGATAGAGAAAGCTAATGATCACTTACTAGACAAGCCCTTAACATCCCCTATTGTCCAAGCCTTTGCTTATAAGCAGTTGACTCTCCGATCAAGTCACACAGGTTTGGACATTAAGTGAGTTCCAGGTGGAGGGGGCATTTGTATGGCTTTGGGCTCACATCACAGAGGTAGAGAGATTTCCTTCTGAGTGTGAGAATGCCCAAGATGAAACAAATGGTTGAAATATCTGATCTGGAACTCTTTCCTTAGTGAGATCTAAGCTTCTGATTTGGACCCAAATGAAAACCATATCTTTTGTTTGCATGTCTTTATCATGAGAATTAAATGTTACTGGCAGATTCATCTCTTGGTTTCCAGCATGACTTGTCCAGCTCACCCCATGGAGAGAAAAGCCGAAAAGCATCTATTGAATCTACACGAGTTTGGGGCTCTGCGACAGCCTATTTATTTGCTATAGAACATTTTAAATTTTATGTAACTTGCTATTATGCTTTTCGGGTGCTTTTTTATAAAAAAAAAAAAAAAAAAAAGGTGGACATAAACAGAGTACCCTAAAAAAAAGATGGTGTTTCAAATCCAATAGTAGTGCATCCCATCCATGGCAAAGAGGACAAATAGGTAATGTTTATTTTGTGCTATAATAAAGACCAATTTTCCACCTGTTAGGTTTGTAATCATTTTTTTAACTGCGTTATATAAATAGGGAGAAGGGAGCAAAGGGAAGCTTTTACCCATCCTCAATCAAAATCTGAAATGTACGATATCTGTTCTAGGAAGTGAAGGTAAACCAGTAATTTGGGAAAACATACACAAAAGTATTTGTTAAATACATAGGTAAGACAGCTATTTTGACATCTTTCTGCATTTGTGCAGAGTAAATATTTCTAATTTCGCCCTTCGAGGCACTATATTCTGGTGTTATCGCTGGCAAAGCCAAAGCTTCGTCCTTATGTAGTCACCATTATGCTATGATTCCAAGAGGACTGCAGGAAAACGTGCCTGAGGATTTGCGGCTCATTCAAAGCAATGGAAGTGCGCATGTGTTGAGTGTATAGAAAAAATGGTGTGGGCACTGAGTGTGTTTCTGTTAATAGGAAAAATATGCCAATTGGCCTGAGTGGTTCCCTCATCTGCGTGAAGGTGGTATCTTGATGCTTTGTTCACCTAGGAACAGCTGCCTTCGCTCCTGTGGTCTCTACTGGAACAACATTCATACAGTGTTCTACCCACTGCTTAGAATTATGCCTACTATGTTCTTAAATGGTCACAAAATGATACCCTCGGAGTTGGTATGCATGATAGCCCAAATTGTGTAAAATGATGCGATGTTTTAGAAAGCATGTCAAGATAGTATGGAGAATTTGGGAGCTTTCCCATATCTGTTTCCTAAAAGACATTAATTTTGACCTGAATTTCCTTTCCTTTCCTGGATATATCTTAAATCCTACAGAAGGCTTCGTCAAATGTTAAATTCAAATTTTCTTTTAAAATTCATTAAAAAATATTACATGTACTTCCCTATTTTAGGACCTAAGCCATCTAAAACAATTTCAGTATGTATTTGTATATATCTTTAAAAGGCACATGCTCTTGAATAATAGAAATTAAACAGAGAGTAAATCATTGCATCTCAAATGCATAAGGACTTGAAATTATAGTCATTACCATGTAATATAGTGTACAAGTTTAACAGCACACCTAACCTTGAAATTGTTGGCAGAAATGTATTCTGATCCAATGAGCTGCCACCTTTTTTATGGACGGCTTGGTAAAAATACATGTTCAGGTTGAAAGGCATGCAAGGTCGCCAGATGAAGTGCAGGGTGGATATCCAGTTATATTTGCATTTAAAACAAAGAAACAACAAATATCTTTTTAGTATTAGCATGTCCTAAATATCACACAGACCGCATTTATACTTTAAAAGTATTCATGGTTTATCTGAAATTCAATCTTAACAGAGCATCCTCTGTTTTTATTTGCTAACCCTGGCACCCCTACCAACATGGATTATATGGAAATCTAGGGAAAGCCCAACACGCTGGAGCAATTAATGCCTGTAAGAGATATCAACCATTTATTCTTTTATTAAATTTTTCTTTCTCTTTCCCTCCTTTTTCTCCCTTCCTTCCCTCTTCCCTCCCTCCTCACGTTTCTTTCATCCTTCAACAAATATCAGTTGTGCTTTCCCATAGACCAGATTCTATTTAGCGATGGGAGCATAATAAATAACAAACCGGCAGCTATGCCGATTATAATAGCAAACTGTGCCAGGCCTCGCAGCAAGCTCATCACAAACATTATGTCATTTTATTCTCACAAGCAGCCCTAGAGAGGTTGATTCCACCACATTATGGAGGAAAAAATTGAGGCAGGAAGATTCTTTATGAATTTCCCTGCTTATTCAGTATCACGCGTCTAGAAGGTCACAGTCCCACAGCAAGCACCATGCTAATCCAGGGAATAAACTAGTGACCAGGACCAAAGTCCGCCTTTGAGGATACTGGCAGACATTCAGCTGGACAGCTCCAGGGAACACACAGAATGAACGCGCAGAGGGACCTGCGCCCCACCAAGGCAAGGCCGAGGCAGGAAGGCGTGATTTCCGAGGACTGATCATGCTGCTGGCTTCAAACCTCAACTCACCCAACTGGAAATCACGCCCCCCTTCCTTATCCATAAAATGGAAATGGAAGGCAGTTGTAAGAATTAAATGAATACATGGAATTATTTTCCTACTGTGAGCTTAGCTGATAGTAGGTTCATGCTGCAAAAAGTGAATTGTGGACAGTCTTGCAGGCTCTCAGCACGTCCTGCCGCATTCCCCGAAGTGTGCAGGACTCAGTCTTCCCCGGCTGATCCGGCGCTAAGTGGCCACCTTGAAAATCTCAGCCTGCCCTTCAATTGTGATAACAATAACAGCAAAACTGTACTTCCCTGGCCTCTTTGTACAAGCTAGGGCTGGCTATGCATATCATTCTGATTTTGCATACATGTAACCTAAAGCTCAGAAGGTTTCCTGATTTGCCAATGAAACAAGCATTAAGCAGGGAGGTGGAATCTGAGCCCACTGGCTAGTACTCTGACTTTCTCCTACTTGGTGGTTCCCTCCTCCTTGCCTGGGGTTTCTAAGTACCATTTGGAACCTAACGAATCTACCTCCAACATCTCAGGAAAAGCTGTAAAACATGGATAAGAATTGAGAGAAGAGTGAGGCTGCCCTGGGCCTCTTCGTGGCTCTGACTGTAACTCAAAACACCGTTGTGCATCACTTAATGACAGGGATACGTTCCGAGAAATGTGTCCTCAATGTGATTTCATTACTGTGTGAACATCACAGTGTACAATCTAGACAGCCATGAGATCATCGGCTGATATAATCTCATGAAGCCACCAAGGTGCAGGGAGTCCAGCGCTGGCCAAAAATTCATTAAATGGCAGGGGACTGCGTCGCCGCAGAGGGGCTTGTGGCATCCGTGTGCTCTTAATTTTAGTTCCCTGTTCAGTCAGGTAATTAGACAAGTACATTTACCACACAGTGGTCTAACCAAAGCGTGACCCAAATTCCAGTGAAAATAGTTACATCCTCCTGAATCTTAGGAATTCATTTTGGGGAACACAACGAGAATCAGGAAAATAGGGTCAAGTAGCAGGCTCTGGCATTTCTCAAGCAGCAAGAAACAAACACATCGTCTTTCTTGATGTTTGCTTTTGATCCCAGCAATCTGGCTTCACTCCCCGTGCGTGTCAACGCGTCTCCGTCCCCATTGCACTTTCCCCCTCATTTAGACTTTTGAATGCTCAATCCTGACGTGTATAATTTGGTGCTTTTAATATAGAGTAACATTATTTTTCATTTACTCCAATCTGCCATCAGTATCATCTTTTCATTTAAGCAGATGCAATTCTTTTTTTCTTTCACTAAATTGAAAATCCATGAGCGACAGGGAGTGCGATGTTTTAATTAGCTCATATTTTTTATATGGATTTATGTCTTTAAAATACATTTGTGTAATTCTTCAGCTAAATTAAAAACGTCTTTCTGCAAGAGTGGGGGGGGCAGTAAAGAGCTAAATTGTGTCATTAGCTTAGGTAGATGCAGATGGAGGACAGAATCTAGCGGAGGGACACACAGTGGCTGAAGCTGCTCCCTGCACTAATTTTGAACTTGCCCTTCATTTAAGAAAGTCTTTCTTTACAAAGACTTCTCAAGAATGGCTTGAGGAGGAATTTTTTAAAGTCCCCTTAGTAAGTAAATAAGCATTACCTTCAGTGAGCTGATCTGAAGCCGAACCTGCCGCCAAACAAAACAGAAAAATAGGAGTCGTAATGATAAACAGTTTTCTCCTGCATTTCTCTTTGTCTTTTTTTTTAACTATCAAGTTTAAAGCTTTCCACGATGCATTTTTTTCTACTTTATAGGAGACAAGTGACATTCCGTGGTAAATGGGAGAAAAAGCCATGCAGAACTGAAATCTCTCTAATGCACTGACACTAACTTGCCCTCTATTGTTGGAAATGAGCAGGCGCGCATGATTGTTCATCAGACGGCTCCTAATGCAGTTAAAGCATTCAGCTATAATTTCTCCTTGCATTTATAATTACTGTCATAGACTGCACACCTCGGTGAGCAGATTAAAGCTATAAACTATTTAGCCGCGGCTCTACGACGAGGAACTTGATTTGTCTGGCAGGAGTTATTTGTTAGGGAGCTTGACACTTCACATAAAAATGACTCAACTTGATGAAGAACAATGCAGTTTTAGCAATGCAGGGATTTTAAATCAGTCAGGACGCCACACCCTGCAAGAATCACAGGGCAGTTTGTTAAATGATATGTAGGCCACGGAGATAAGGGGATGTGTTAAGGGTACCGAAATAGAGCAGGATTTGGTGCACAGCTGCTTTTTTGCCTAGCTCTTCTCTGGAAGATCGGGAGTTGGTTGAAAATCAGTGCACGTCATGTCGCCCTATTAAATCCCATGTAAATGATACAGGAGGCTCTGCTGGCAGGGAAGAGGGATGCCAGCAGCCCACGGTGCATGTCACACTGGGTAGTTTTAAAGAACCCTGGGAACCCAAAGCCCGAGGTGCCAACATTAAGTGGAAAGTGCTTGGGTTTTATTTTTTTCTGTAGTATTCGGGTATTTCTTTTTTTGTTAGTTGCAGATGACACGTGATGTATATATAGGCACAGAGAGTGTCCATTGTGTCTTTTAGCTATGTAATTAGATGAAAAATAAATCTATTACAACTCAGATATCCTGCAGTTGTTGGTACAGTACTCAACGACCAAGATCTTAATGGATTGCTGGCAACTTTGATTTGCCATGGAATCATCCCCCACCTACCCATACCTCACAGTGGTAAATATATGTGTATATATATATATATATAGAGAGAGAGAGAGAGAGCGTAAACTAGTATTTAGGAAAAAGAGTATAGAGTATTTATGGACAGTGAGTGGTGAATGCTCAAATGTTAGAAGTCACGAATCCCAGTGCTCCAAGGCCAGTGGGCGACTTGAAGGGCCCGGTAAGCTGGGCAGGGACTATAGCATGTGAAAAGCCTGGGGACCCTGTGTAGCTTCAGTAGTTTTCCAGACAAGCAGGAAATCCCTGTCTTTGTGGGAAGACACCCAGTATTTAAACCGGGAAGTTCTT